ATCCAATGAATCGATCATCTGCTCAACTTTGCTGCGGTATGTAAACCTAGTTACCGCCAGAACCCTCGAACAGCTCAAGGCGTTCCGAAAAAAAACTCAAGGCCTACCGAAAGGCGCTTCCAGAACAAGGCGGAGGCATCGTTTCTGTCCGAATAGAGACATCTCTACAACTGATCGCACACGCGATTGCAAAGATATTAGGTTTCAATCATAGCTCAGATAGGGCGTCGAGCTGCTCAAAACTCGTGTAAACCCGCGAAACATGATCTAGAGTGTGACTGGTTCTTCCGTTGCAGATCCGATAGGCGACCGAGCTCGGTGCTCTCGAGGCTCTAGACTAATGCTATCGATGCTACTGAATTCATCTCTGAGACCAAAAGCTCAACGGCTGCTCTAAGTCTCGAAATCGCGTCGCGTCACTGATCAGTTTCCCCGAAAGGTTGCAGACTGATCTCAGGCATCTCGACCCTACAAACTGTCGCTGTCGATGCTGCTGGAGCTGCTGGTGCACATGAAACATGCGTAGCTGCTATAAATCTCGAGGTCAAATCGAAACCACTAATATGCGCCCAAAACAATTTCACTGAGTGCGAATAGGTTTTCGGCCATAGCTCGAGGAGCAGACCGATCTCAGGCTTCTCGACCATGTATACGAATGCGTCCAATGCTGCTGAACCTATTCTTCCGCTCGAAACTTCTGTAGCTGTTCTGCATCTCGAGATGAAGTTGAAAACCGAAGATATGTTCCAAACGCTGCAGAGTGCAAGTAAGTGTTCGGTCAGAAGCTCGAATACCAGGGCGATCTCAAGCTTCTTGACCCGCTATACTGATGCTCGCAATGCTGGTCGAGCTACTTGTATGCAGAGACCCTCTGTAGCTGCTCAAAATCTCGAGATTCAGTCCATAAACCCAACGTCCGCATAAAATACTATTTTCTGGTGGTCGGCTGCTGGAAGTGAACCGATGGAAACATTACAACTACAGCCATAAGAATTGTTTCTCGTGAGTTCAGCGCGATCGAATGCTCAGTGTAAGAATATGAAATTGCTAAACGAACGGTGATTGTTTTGGCCGGCGACGCAGCGAATGCTGTACACAGTTTCGACTCCACCCCTGGGCGCCGTCGGAACACCAAGCTGAACGCTCGAAGTTAAACGAATGGTGAAATATTGATTAAGAACTGGGCGCCGGCGGTGCAGCCAAGAGGGCCGCAGGTCGCTGATCAACAATTCAGCTGAGACATGAAAAATGCATGAACTCCGAGAGGCCAGCCAGCAGGCGCGAGGCAGCATTAAGCTCGGCTTGTGTGACGGCGCAGCTAGGCGGCAAAAGAAAGGCGTCAGTCAGGACATTATCATCATACCTACCGGTGTGATCTCGCACTGCTTTATTTCGACCGTGCGCTCGTAATGCGGTCGTGCTGGTGGTTGTGCTGGTGGTCCTGCTGGTGGTCGTGCTGGTGGTTGTGCTGGTGGTCGTGCTGGTGGCTGTGCTGGTTGTCGTGCTGGTGGTCGTGGTTGGTGGAGGTGCTGGTGGTCGTGCTGCTGGTCGTGCTGCTGGCCGTTCTGGTGGAGGTGCTGGTTGTCGTGCTGGTGATCGTGCTGGTGGTTGTGCTGGTGGTTGTGCTGGTGGCTGTGCTGGTGGCTGGTCGTGCTGGCGCTCGTGCTTGTGGTTGTGCTGGTGGTCGTGCTGGTGGTTGGTGATGCTGGCTGTCGTGCTGTTGGCTGGACCTGCTGGTCTCCCTCGTGCTGGTGGTTGTGCTGGTGGTCGTGCTGGCGGGTGTGTTGGTGGCTGGTCGTGCTGATGGAGGTGCTGGTGGTCGTGCTGGTGGTCGTGCTGGTGGTCGTGCTGGTGGTCGTGCTGGTGGTCGTGCTTGCGGAGGTGCTGGTGGCCGTGTTGGTGGCTGGTCGTGCTGGTGGTCGTGCTGGTGGTTGTGCTGGTCGTCGTGCTGGTGGTTGTGCTGGTGGTCGTGCTGGTGGTTGGTAGCGCTGGAGGTGCTGGTGGTTTTGTTGGTGGTCGTGCTGGTCGTTGTGCTGGTGGTCGTGCTGGTGGCTGGCCGTGCTGGTGTTCACGCTGGTGGTCGCGCTGGCCCCCCGCTCCTTCCCTGCACCCCCCTCCCCTTGCACCCGTGCTCCCCCCGCCCTGGGCCTCCGCGCCCCCTCCGCCGTGCTCCCCCCGCCCTCCCCGGGCCCTCCACTTTTTCCGACCGTGCGCCCCCTCCCCCGCTCCTCCCCTGCGCGCCTCTCCTGCTCCCGTGCCCCCCCCGCCCTCCCGTGGCCCCCGCGCCCTCTCCCCCATGCTTCCCCCGCGTTCCCCGAGCCCCCTTCTGGTCTTATTCCGACCGTGCGCCCCCCCTGCCTGCTCCACCCCTGCGCCCCCCCCCTTCCCCCTGTGCTCCCCCCACCCTCCCCGAGCCCCCGCGCCCTGTCCCCCGCGTTCCCCCCGCGCTCCCCGGGCCCCCCTCCCCTTATTCCAACCGCGCGCCCCCCCGCCGCTCCGCCCCTGCGCCCCCCTCTCGTTGCCCCCGTGCTCTCCCTACGCCCCCCGGGCCCCCGCGCCTCCCCCTCGCGCACCCCCCGCGCTCCCCGGGCCCTCCCCTCTCCTGAATTCCGACCGTGCGCCCCCTCCCCTGCCCCTCCCCCGCTCCTCCCCTGCACCTCCCTCCTCTTGCCCCCGCCCCCCCCCGCACCCTCCCCGCGCGCCCCCGCGCCCCCCTCCCCCGCGCCCGCCCCCCCCGCCCCTTCCCCAACCCCTTCCCCTTATTCCCGACCGCGCGCCTTCCCCCCCTGCCCCCCCCTAGCGCCCGACCCCCTTTGCCCCAGTGCCCCGACCCCCACTCTCTCCCGGGCCCCCCCGCCCTGCCCCCCGTGCCGCCACCGCTTTCTCTGCCCCCCCCCCTCTTAATCCGACCGCGCGCCCCCCTCCCCCGCTCATCCCCTGCGCCCCTCCCCGTTGCCCCCGTGCTCCCCCCGCCCTCCCCAGGCCCCCGCGCCCTCCTTATTCCGACCGTGCGCCCCCCTTCCCCGCCCCTCCCCTGCGCCATCCCTCTGCGCCCCCGTGCTCTACCCATTATCCCCGGGCTCCCGCGCCCCCATCCTCGTGATCCCCCGCTTTCGACCGTGCGCCCCCCCGCAGCTTTTCCCCTGCGCCCCCTCCTTGCGCCCGTGTTCCCCCCACCATCCCCGAGCCCCGCGCCTCCTCCCGAGCGCCCCCCCCGCCGCCCCCGAGCCCCCCTCTTCCTTCCGACCCTGCCCCCCCCTCCGCTCGTTCCCTGCGCCCCTCAGCCCCTTCTCCCCGGACCCCCCCCACCCTCCCCGCGCCCCCCCCCCCTGAATGCCCCCCCCGCGTCCCCGGGCCCTCCTCCTGCCATTCCGACTGCGCGCCCCCTCCCCGCTCATCCCCTGCGCCCCCCCCTTGCCCCCGCTTCCCCCAACCACCCGCGGGCCCCCGCGCCCCCTCCCCGCGCGCCCCCCCCCCCCCCGCCCCCCCCCCCCCCCCTCTCCCCCCCGGCCCCCCTCCACGCATTCCGACCTTGCAACCCCCCTCCCCCGCTCATCCCTTGCGCCCCCCCCCCCCTTGCCGCCGCGCCCCCCCCACCCTCCCCGGGCCCCCGCAACCCCCCCCGCGCCCTTCCCGCTTCCCCGCGCCCCCCCCCCCCCCCCCTATTCCAACCGTGCGCCACCCCTCCCCCGCTCATCCCCTGCGCCCCTCTCGCCCTCTCCCATCGCCGCCGTGCCACCTCCCCCCCCCCCCCCCCCTCGCCATCCCTGGTTTTCTCCATCCCCCATGGACCCACATCGTCATTGCATGATCCTTGGCACGCGTGCCCCTTGTTATACCAGAACGGCGCGCGAGCAAGATCGCTCTGGAAGGAGGGGGGGGCCCGGAGGGTGAGATAGAACAAACGTGCACGCCAATGCGGCAACCACAGCCAACACCCAACCAAGACCTTCCTCCGTCGAATGCACCACGGAGGGCATCAATGCGAATGTGTCCATCACGGATTGACTCAACGATGCCATGATTAATGCGTTTCCTTCGCGTTCCCTCGCCTCGCCTCCCAGGTGAGCTCATCACGTGATCAGCCGAGGCGCCAGGCAGCGCTGATGATGCCGCCGGCCGGCCTGGGCTGGATCGTTTTTCCTCGGAGGCTCGCTGGAGCTCCAAGTGTTGCTTGAGCCAGGATGGGTACGGTGCTTTTCCCAAACCCTTTGCTTTCCGTGGCCATGCTGATGCTACACGCGTGCTGGGACTGGCGTTACATGGGCGCTGTGAGGCGAGGAGGCGGTTGGATACCAGCCACACTCCACGCGTCGCACGCCCTCCGCGCGACCTGGAACCTGGAGGCGGCCGGATGCCAGCCACACTCCTAGTGCCGAGTGGCACGTCTATTTCACAGCCCTGATGCGCGGCCTGGACCCGAAAGACGGCCGGATTCCAGCCACACTCCCGGAGCCAAGCCGCCTGGCTGATTCTCGTAGGTCTACTCAGGGCCGGGCTCTGGCCCAGGAGGAAGCTTCGCCTTATGGGCCCATTACGCCTGTCCGCCTGTCTCCGGCGAATAACTGCCCCGGGAAAAGGGTTCAAATATGTACCGACGGCTTGTGTCGCCAGAAAAAACAGATCGCACCCAAACAGAAGCTTACAGAGCGTGGCACACAGGAGCTAATGTATATAATATAAACGCCGGCGGGAATCGTGCTCCGCGACACGAAGCTGGAAGCAAAAGAAATGCCCAATGCTTATGAGGATATCCTGTTCTACTGTCAGTTCCCTGGTACAAATTGCAAGTAGGCCTATTCAAAATGTACATGTAATCAGTCACCGCTGGGCGAGGTGATGGGCGTCTCAGGTGCCAGACAGAAATTGCTGCAGTTATCTGTGGCATCATTTCGCACCCCGCTTGGCCCTGTCGCTCAGAACCTCCTCGGCCAGAGCACAGGCCGCAGGCCGCAGGCGCGAGAAGACGAACATCATATAATCATCTGGGCTGCCAGCCCTCACAACTTTGCGGCGCGCCGCATGCCGATGCGCTCCCACGCCTCGGCAAAAGGCGCCGGGATGAGGGACTTGGTGAAGAAGTCACCTTTGGGCGTGGCTGTACCGTGGTACTCTACGTCGGGTGCTGCTTCTGGATCGTTGTAGATCTCGTGCATGGCTCCGATAGAGCATCCGTGTGTCTGGGAAAGGCATCGCAAGCGTTTGGAGTAGCCCTTCTGGATGGCCTGAATTGCCTGAGCGTTGTCCACTCTGCAATCGATGGGGACGAGGGCGCCAAGCATGTCGGAGATCAGCGTCTGCACCGGCAGCGCACAATGCCGGACCGCCGTGCTCGCGCTTATGGTCTCGGACTCGGCGCTGCCGCTGCTGGTCGCCGTCTGGTGCGACACCTTTCACGTAAGAGGGAAAGAGTTGCCGGACTCGGTCCCCACCACTTCGCAGTACAACCCACTCGTGCTCTTCGTGGCGTTGCTGTCCCCGTTCCAGTCGGCGTCAGGCCTCAATCTAATCGCTAGATGCTCTAAGCCGCTTGGGCTTAACTGCCCAAAGAGCTCCAACATCGTGAAATTCCGACACGCAAGACAAAAAACGAATCAGTGCGATGTCGTCTGTAACCGTCCACCGCGTCACCCGGCTGCACATTCTCTGCATCGCTACAGACAGATCTTGGCGACATACCAAAGAAGCATACAAGCCGGAGGCGACGTAGCTGGCAGCAGAGGCCTGGAAGATGCCCGCCTCGTCGTCGTCCGCCGCCTAGTCACCATCTGTGGGGTGCGGCGCGGTGACCTTGCGCAAGGCGCCCCTGTACTCCAGCTTGAACTTGTCCACCAGGTTGTGCAGGTGCCCGCTCATGCTGGCAGTGACCGTTCGCACCCTCATCGGCTCCTGCGGGTCGACGTGGTCGAAGTGGTACAAGGCGCCAAGGTAGCGCAACACCTCTGCGTACGCCTCCTGGAACACGATGTGCTCACCCAGCTCGTGCCAGTGCTTCTTGGCGTTCGCCGCCGTGACCGCGAGCAAGAAGTCGTCCACGTAGATCACCATGATGCTGCCATCAGCGTGCAGCCAGATGCTGTGCCATCCGTCGACCGTCCTCCAGCCAGCCATCTATACGATGAACACGGCGTCCGTGTGGGACTCCCAGATGTTCCCGCTCTTTGGGTGCCCTGGGAGCGCGTACACCAGAGGGACAGCTGGCCGGTGGTATTTTGGCTGCGTTCGGGATCGCAAAACCAACTGCTCGGCCATCAGTCCTTGGGAAGCTCGACAAGGTTCACAATCCACACCTGGCAGCAATCAAGCTGGCCGGGCTGTTGGACACGTCTTCGAAGATCTCGTATGCACTTCGACCAGTTCTGGTCCATATGTTGTTTCCCTGGAAGACTGCTCTGGCTCTGTAGCGCCACTGGCCCTCGTCTATCTCGCTGCTCTTGCAGCCCAGGATGACGAAGACGCGGCCTACGACGACGTCCTTGTACGAGTCGTCAGCCATCCAGTCTTTCAGGCTACGGACCCTGCTCATGTCCCAGGTGCCCCAGTTTCTGCGTCCCTCGAGCTCCGCCTCGATCGCCGCTTTGGCCTTGTCGGTCCTGGCCTCCTGTGACTTCAAGTTGACGAGCCTGGTGATGAGGCAGCACCACAGCGGCATCGTCGGAGGGCCCGGGGGCAGCACACGCTCCATGATGCGATCCGGGAGCGTGCACGGCATCGCCATGGGAACGTCTGGCTTCAGCGCCTTTTCAGATCAGCGTTGCCATCCGCGGCGTGTACAGAGCGCTGGCAGCTGCGATCTTGCCCCGGCTCTCCACGAAGCTAGCCTGCGGGATGTGCTTGGGCAGGTCGGCGTAGGGCCCTAGCTCGATAGGGGTCCCCGGGTGTCGTAGCAATCCTCCACTTCTTCTTGATGAACACTTGCTGAATCGTGCTCTTGATGTTCTTACCGAAGGACATGCCCACAGCAGCAGAGGAAGCAACGAAATCAACAGCGCCTCGTCGGGCTAACATGCCGACCACCCTCGGGTCATGCCACAGAAAGTTGCGATCAACCCATTCCCAAGAAAACGTATTGTTGGTCCTGTCCACGAGTTCACAAATCTGGACAGCAGCAACGATGAGCTTGTTGGTCAGGCTCTCGTCCCCGGCATTGACGCCCAGAGCCGTGTTGACGGACTTCCAAGGGCATCCAAAAGTGCACGGGATGCTGACCCACGCGTGCACCTCCACCTCGTGCAGGACGCAAAACCTGATTATGGCATGACCCGCACGTTTAGTTGACTTCAGTGTCAAGTCCTCCCTGGCGGTGATGCGCACCGCAAGGCAGTGCTCCTGGGCGGCCGCGCTGAGCTCGCTGTCCTCGGAGCACCCCAACTCCAGCAAGAGGAACCTGTAGTCGCCAATGATGATCATGCTGCGCGCCTGCTGGACGACGCGCGTCGCTGACGGACGCAACGCCACCGCAGGACGCTCCAGCTGAAGAGTTGTATCCCTCAGCTCGTGGGTCGTGGTGTCCTTCTCCACGTCGCTCCCCGGCGGCCGGGAGTTCCCGGAAGTCGGAGCTATACCTCTCGCGACTGCTGCCAGGGGAGTGGGCGGTGCGACCACGCCCTTCTGCTTTGCTTGTTGCCATTTGGACCTTCTCGACTCCTGCGCCGCGAAGCCAGGTGCATCGAGCCGCCCCCACTCCGCGCGCAGCTCCTTCTGAGCAGCTCGCCCAATGCTAACCCACACCTCGGGCTCGCAAGTTGGCGGGCGTCGTGGCCACGGTGGCACGTGCAACAGGCGGACCCTGTCTCCACCTCGTCCAAAGCGTTCGATCCTCCATCCCGGTGGAGCGGCGCCCCCCTCGACGATGGCGATCTCGGGCTGGACGTCGTCGACGGCCTGCTGCGCCTCCGCGATGTCAGCATCTACCGGGTGAAAGTCACCAGCGGGCGCAGTCGCAACAGGCTGCACCTCGTCGCCCTGGGTGTCCGGCTCCAGAGCCAGCACGTGGCACAGGGGCACGCTGGAGTCGAACTTGGCGGCGTTATCCTTCCACATGCCGTCGAAGAACTCCGCCTCCATGTCGATGTCGCCCTTGTCCTCCAAGATCTCCCAGGTCTCGGCGTCGCCCGCGACGCGGGGAGCCGGCAGGGTCTTGTCGACCGTGGCCCCATGGATCGCCAGGCGCTGCTTGATGGGGAACGCGACGTCCTCTGGGAATACTACGTCGCTCTCCGAGGTAAACCTCGATAGAGGGATGACCCCGTAGCTGGAGGCCCATTTCCCCCCTGGCAAGACGGTGATATTGATCTGCACGGCGGGCACGAGCCGAGACTGCAGCTTGTCGCGCAGTGGCTCCGCGCCCTGCTGCGGCACCGGCCGGCGCGGGTGGAACAGCACCAGGGCGCCGAAGGCGTACTGCTTGCACGGTGCTGGTGCCCCGCGCCTCCTGAAGTAGGGGGTCATGCCGTCCTTGCCGATCATGAACCCGTTCCACATGGCGATCCAGATGAGCAGCGCCATCGCCCACCAAGCCTCGTCGAGGCCTGACTGGATGAGCAAGGCCCTCGTGCCTTCCGAGGCTGTCCGGTTCGTCCTCTCTGCCTTCGGGGCGTGCCGCCACGGCACGGACGTGAAGTGCGCCAGAGGCCGCAGTGACCGCACATGCTGCGAAGCGGCAAGAAACTCAGCCGCTCGATCAGACCACCACCTCCAAATGGCAGGAGGCACGTCGTCGCACCGATGAATCAGCTCCACCACCACGCCGGCCTCCTTCGAGTTCGAAGGCCCGGCGCCGAGGAACACGGTGAGGCCGTCCGTCAGCATCAGAGCGCGCTGCGCCGTCTTGAAGGCCTGCGTGCCCCGGCGGATCTCTAGCCAGTCGATGTGCACCATCGCCCCGAAAGGCTTGTCAGTGGCGCCCTGGCCGGTGACGTGCACTATGGGCTCCGTGCGCCGGAGCTTGTACTTGTGCAGGTGCTTCGCGTCGTCGCAGATTGGGCACCCTTCAGGCGGGGAAGATGCATGCTCTGGTGCTCGGGTGAGTTCACGCCCTTGCAGGGCGCGCAGTAGTCCTGCTCCTCGTCCCTGGCGCCCACCTGCGTGACCTCGAACTTGGTTGGAGTCGTTGGCGACGATGTCGGCCTCGGCGTCGTGCTCCGTCCTGTCGGCCCGGTCCAGCAACCTCTGCACGTCTGCCAGAAGAGTACGCTCGGAACTGTCGGCTGCGTCAGGCTCCTCTGGGATCGGCGGGATGTCGGGCTCGACGTCGACGGCACCCTCCTGCCTGTGCTCGGTGTCGGGCGCGGCCGGCGCGGGCGCCATAGCGGCCACTGCAACCACGTTTCGTCCTCCTCCAGCTCGCCGATTGCGAACGAACGGCACAAAGTTTATGGCGATATGAAGGACGGCTTGTCCGCGCACGGCTGCCAGTAGAAGCCGACGCCCTTCTCCGCACAACGTCGTCCAAGTGCCAATGCGTTGGGCGTGTCTGGGAGGACATGCGCCGTGATCGTCTCGCCGAGGGGGGCGAGGTCGGTGGTGACTGTCTCGTTCGAGTCCACGATCCCCCCTGCTGACCACATGGCCGTGGCGACGTTCGCCTTACCCTTGGATCCGGCGACCCTGGAGTTCGCGACGTCGAGGGCGGACGCCGTGTCGAGCGCCCACTCGTCGTACACAGACGCCTGGATGTTGCAGATCATCTGCTTCTTGGGCGCCTCCGCGGCTGCTCCGGACCCTGCGGCGCCGTCGGGTATCTTGGCAGGTCACCAAGCTCCATCACCCTTGTGTCGCCCTTGGTGGGAGGGGTGGAGTAGCGCCGAAAGATGCAATCCTGGCCGTACCTGCAGGCGTTGCCCCTTTTGACGTGGTGGCACATCGCAGGAATGCGTTCCTGGGGCTGCCCTGCCGAGGCCTTGGCCTTCGGTGCGGGCTTGGCTTTTGCATCGGCCTTCGCCTTCGCCTTGGCTTTCGCTACCTCTGGCCCGGTGCGCACCTGCAGGCGTCGCCTTTGGTACACGTGCCAGCGACGAACCTCCTGCAGACGTCCTTCGACGTGGTCGCGGCGCCCCCTGCGCCCTCTGCGCCCTTCTTGCCCTTACCCGTGCCCTTCGGCTTCAGTGGCGTTACCATGGGCGCTGGCTTCAGGAGGGAATCCACGACGTCTTGCATCTGCTTGCGCCTGACGTAGTCCCTGGCCTTGTCGTACAAGAACTGCAGCGTCTTCTCCGTCGAGCCTTCCTCGGCGCGATCGTAGAGCTCGAAGTCCAATGCCAAAGGCCTGCACTTCCGCAGCTGCGGCACAACGCAAGCATGGAGAAGAGCTTCGTCAGGTGGTTCCCGGAGGTGCTCCAGGATTGCGTCAAGGCCATCAAGGTACAGGCTGAGGTCGCCGCGGAACTCGCGCGTCATCAGGGCCGTCAGATCGACCTGAGTAGCGGTGCCTCGCTCGAGGACGGACTTGCGGATCGCATGCCAGAAAGCCCATCGCCCTGCGGGCGGGACCCCTTGCTTGTAGCACTGCTCCCGGCAGGTGGTCAGCTTGCGTTTCGGCTCGCCCGCTGAGTACCGCATCACCGCGGAGAACAGCTCGGCGTCGAATGGCTGCCATTTTTTCGGGACGATCAGCAACGCGGCCGGGTCGCCGCAGGCCTCCGCGCCCTAGATGTAAATGATCGTGCGCTGCTGCGACCGGTTCGATGCCACCGTGCACTTGGTGTACACGCCAGCACGCCAGATACGGAATCCAGCGGCTGTAGGCGGCGAGCCCAGGTCCATGGGCTTCACCGTCGTTCGCTTGCGGGTGAGCTCCTCGCCCGACGACTCCTCGGAAGACTGGTGCTCACCGTCGTTGCGGGCGGCGGCTCCACGATCCTGCATCCTGCTGCGGGCTCGCAATGCCCACGGTGGCCACTGGGACAGCCGCAGTCGGGGGCTCGGCCCGCGGTCGCATTCGCAGCGAGGGCCCAGGCAGCGACGGCATGGCGACACTCGTACGGGGCTGCTCGACACCTGCCGGCGCCCCGCTGGCCTGTGGGAGGCCTGGAGACACCGACGTCGTCAGCGTTTGTGGCGGTGCTGTCGCCAGACGCGGCGGCGGCTGCCGCAAGGCTGCCATCGGCGCCAGGGGGAGCCGATCCCTCAGCGCAGCCTGGTCCAACTCGTCGCGGCACGCCTCTGCCTCGGCTCTCCACGTGTGGAGTTCCAGTTGAGCGTCCTGCATCTCGATGATCGCCTCGTCCTCCGAGTTCATAACCTCGCGGAGCCGCTCGTCGCTGGCAGCCACCATCTCCGCGGCCCACTGGTCGACCTCACGCTGTGTGGCGTCGCGGGTCGCGATGGCCTGCTGGGTCGCGATGGCGACCGCCGGCTCGCCGGCACGCCGCAGCTCAGCTCGCCAGTGCGTGTCCTGGTCGCGGAGCTCCTGGCGGAGGGCGCGGACGTGGTCTGCCAGTTCACTGCGAAGCGCTCGCTCTCGGTCGTTTGCCTCCGACTCGACGAAATCGACGTGCTTCTCCTCCCTGACAGATGCGAGATGGAGCGACCTGTCGCTTGACCTTGCCGCCGTGGCGGCGCGCCGCTCCACGCTGGCGAGATCCTCTGACTCCAGCCGGAGCCGGGCCGCCATGGCCTGGTGCTCGCCGCCGATGTGGGCCTCGGCCCTCAGAAGCTCCGCGCGGCCCTGCGACACCAGGCTCTCGGCCAGGTCCCGGCATCGGCCCTCGCACTGCTGCCGCATCTCCCCCACGAGTTGGTTGAAGACGCCCTCGAAGTAGTTCTGGACATGGTTGACTCCGGTCCACATGGCCTCGCGCTGGTCCACAGCGCACTGCTGCACGAGATGCGCCTCGTACTGCTGCATCTCGTCGCGAACCCCTGCCATGAACTGCGCCACGTTGTACTGCGTGATGGCCTGGGACTCGGCCACGAACTGGCCCTGCTGGGCCTGCTGGGCCGCCAACGCCATGCCCATCTCCAGCTGGGCACGGGCGCGTTCGTCGGCAACGCTGGCGGCAAGCGCCTGCTCTTGCGCCTGGACCGCGGCGCGCACCCGAGCGGCGGCGTCCCCATGCAACAGATGCTCAAATACTGCGACCTTCGCCTCCATCTGTCTCTCGAGGTCCACCATGTCGATGACCCTGGAGAGGTACATGGACAAGTCCAGATCATCGATGGGCACAGTGGCGAACTCCTGGGCCGGCTGTGGCTGCTGCGGCAGTTGCGGCGCAGCCGAGGCGACTGTCGCCGACGCCGGCGCAGCCAGGGCGGGCATCGCCGTCAGAGCGCCCAGCGACGGCAGCCGGAGCGCAGCAGGGGCGGCCACAATCGCAGCCACAGCGGCCGCCTGCTGGTGGCCCTCAGAGCCACTCGGTGCCGCTGGAAGCGGTGGCGCCCCGAGCGTCAGCGGCGCCGGCTGCAGTCCCCGGCTCGGCTGTGGGCCGAGGCTTGATGGCCACGACTGGAAGAGGCTCGGGTAGCTGTCGCGTGGCGCGACGCTCGTCGCCAGTCCTGGGCTCGGCTGCGGGCCGGGGCCCGCCTCCAGCGGCGCTGGATCGTTCCACGACATTGTCGACGCGGCCCGTCGGGTTGTGCTGCTCGGCCGCCGCGGCCGCGTGACCGCCGGCGGCGGGAGAAGCGCTGGGGCGTGGCTCGCGCTGGCGAGCGCGCTTCAGCGCGCGGTCTAAGCTCGACTCCGGAGAGCGCTTGCGTGGCATCCAAGGCTCTTAACCTGTGATCAGCCGAGGCGCAAGGCAGCGCTGATGACGCCGCCGGCCGGCCTGGGCTGGATCGTTTTTCCACGGAGGCTCGCTGGAGCTCCAAGTGTTGCTTGGACCAGGATGGGTACGGTGCTTTGCCCATACCCTCTTCTCTCCGTGGCCATGCCGATGCTACATGCCTGCTGGGACTGGCGTTACAAGGGCGCTGTGAAGCGAGGAGGCGGTCGGATACCAGCCACACTCCACGCGTCGCACGACCTCCGCGCGACCTGGAACCAGGAGGCGGCCGGATGCCAGCCACACTCCTAGCGCCGAGTCGCACGTCTGTTTTACAGCCCTGATGGGCGGCCCGGACCCGAAAGGCGGCCGGATTCCAGCCACGCTCCCGGGGCCAAGCCGCCCGGCTGATTCTCGTAGGTCTACTTAGGGCCGGGCTTTGGCCCAGGAGGAAGCTCCGCCTTATGAATCCATTACGCCTGGCCGCCTGTCTCCGGCGAATAACTGCCCTAGTTTCCGCCCCGGGAAAAGGGTTCAAATCTGCACCGACGGCTTGCGTCGCCGGAGACAATAGATCGCACCCGAACAGAAGTTTACAGGGCGTGACACACAGGAGCTAATTTATAAAATAAACGCTGGCGGGAATCGCGCTCCGCGACACGAAGCTGGAAGCAAAAGAAATGCCCAATGCTTATGCAGACATCCTGTTCTACTGTCGGTTCCCTGGTACTATTTGCAAGTAGGCCTATGAAACATTGTACATGTAGTCAGTCACCGCTGGGTGAGGTGATGGGCGTCTCAGGTGACTGACAGAAATTGCTGCAGTTATCTACGGAATCATTTCGCATCATCAGCCCTATTCAGGTTGTGCCCAACACTGGGCGGTTTGACTTTGGCCACTCTCCCAAGGCTGTGCATACTATTCTGGACCTCGTGAACGATACTAGCGCATATGAGCTTCGAGGTGTGCCTGGGCCCCCATAGTAGCCAGTGGATGAGCACCTGGGAGTCCAACACCAGCTCAAGGGCCAGCGTGTGTTTGTCCAGCTTCCACACCGAGGCTTCCTCGCAAATCTTAGCCAGCCGCCTACCCTCTTCCTGGTTAGTATGTCCCGTCTTCTCCGAATCCACCTCCTCCTCCGCCTTGTGGCAGTATGGTGAGGGATCACGTAGTACAAATTCCTTTCTGATATTGTGATGTACTTGATAAAAAGCGCAGGCAGCCTTACATAATCGCATCCAATCGTGTTCCGTCCAGCCTAGCACCCCCGTCATCCAATGCGCATCACCTACATTCTCGAAGACGAAAGCCCATGAGGCAAGCGCTCTAGCACCCGCCACCAGCCCAGCTTTGCGCAAAAATAAAGCTTGGCAGCCTGGGAACCAACCTGGGACGTGAGCGCGTCTGTGATCTCACCCCACTGCCTCCCCCCGACCAGAATCATCGTCCCCCTAACAACCCAGCACTAAGTATAGAAATAGATGGCATGACTATGCGTGCTTTAGCAGGTGGCCCTGAGGCTTCAGAGCGATCCCAAACCCGCACCGCGTTTCCCGATAGCTGGAGTATCCGTCTCTTGGCCTCCGACTATGTCTGCACGAGCATATTGCGACGGTTCAAACTCTGCCACTGCCTGTGGCTAGCTTCCCGGGAGACCCGCCTCCACATCAACAAAGGACTGCGAGCCGCCAGTGACACAGGACTGTTCCTGCACGACAAATTGAGCGCCAGGCTGAGAACGAGGGGCAAGCGAAAGGTAGACATCCTTAGCCCGCACCCAATGTATGTAGAGCGTCAACAGACTACAATGCCATACCCCAATGAGAATACCAGGGCCCATGTCATACATGCGTTTTCTCAACACCGCCCAAGACCCATCCTGTTATTGTTACGCCATACCAGTGTAGCCAACAGGGTCCCCTCACGATTACGTACACATGCAAGTGCGGTCCCGTCAATGGTAATACCCTCAACGCCATAAAGAAATATCGTCTGGACTCTGACAACACATATTCTGCTTTTCCCGTTCATGGAAAGTTGCTTGTTCGTGGAAAACGAGCGGGCACACCAGAATTATTTCTCCGTTTCTTTCATACCAGCATGATCTCTCAAGGATCTGCCGAAAACCTCCCAACGTCTGACTTCTTGAACTTCGATAATGCACGGCAGCAGCTTACGTTCGGTTGTCCAAGGGTCCTCCGGAATCTCCACCCTCATACGCACAGGCCGAGGAGCGCCCGCGAGTCCCCGCCCCAAACAGGCGGGGGGCGGCATCGACGCCCGAAGATGACACGCCGCGCCTCAACGGAACAAACGGAGAGTGATCAAAGCCCCGGTCGACACCCAAGTTCATGGAATCCGAACTGCTCTCCTTCCAATCAAAACCATATCGTCTCAAAGCCAAGGTCACGTACGCAATCACATGCGTCAACTTATACTGATTGGCCGTAATACAGATAACAGTATCGGCCTTAAGCACGCTGGTGACTTCAGCGAAGTCGTGTTGGCTGCAAGTGATGCTCGCACCAGCTTCCACACTGACCAGCCCCACCCATCTCATGCCAAGCTCTCACCAGGTCCTCAGAGCAAAGATGGAAAGCGCAATGCACAAGGAACGTGCTGCATGCGATCCCGCGCGGACACACCTGTCCGACAAATTCCTTCCGTCGTCACCTCCTGGAATCGAAGTTCTGCTTCATTACACAGATAACTCTCTAACAATGCTACAGAGAGCTGATTATGGGCGCCTATACCCAAGAGCTCGGGCGGCATCAGACACAATAAAGGAATGAAAGGCACAAGCAACGCCCGACACGCAAGAAATTTGTTTCACTAGCACGTCGGTATATGTTCTCCAACCCCGCCGTGACTCCACAGCATCTCCGCTCTGGCACAAGGCCATACCATCGGAATAACTCACCCGATCCTATCGTTCTGATGTGCCGCTGCAAAACATTGGCAAGGCGACCACTGCACCACTTTCGAAAACACTCAGCCTCTAGAGTCATCCACGCTGCGACGCAGTGTATTATTTGACTAATAATGACCAGCATATTGTGCCATGAAGCGGGCGTGACAATCTGGCGCCCATAGAGAGATGAAAGGCATCCTACACACAACAGAATGTGTTCCGTGGGAGTGTTCTTAGCATCGCAGAGGAATGTCACATGCTAGCACCGCTCTCCCGATTTTAACTTTTGCCCGGGTCTGAAAGAGCATTCCAATTTCCAACGGGCAAGGTACAGCGCCTTCCATCCGTGCATTATCCTCCTTCTGTTCGCCTTCCTCAAGCACTGGACGTCACGCGATCTCCCCTCCTCGCAACTGTACTTGGTAAGACCGTACTTTCGGAGTGTCTTCGTCCACTTAGCTGGATCAGAGCAGGGAGCATCCTCAGCGCACGCCTGACGTTGTTCCAAGCCCCCGACTTGCTTCGCAGACCTCCTTCTCCACATCCCCATCCTTCCACAGCTTAAGCGCGGCGAAATGTCCGCGTCTGACTCGAATGTGCGTCCCCGACCAACACGGGACAGATGGCCGGCGCAAGGAGGTGCCTCCTCCGCGGCCTGCAGAAGGACGTCGATCATGGGCTTCACAAGGTTGCCCATCGCGTCGTTCTCTTCCTTCCTCCTTCAGGTACGTCTCATCCACGCTGTCTCTGAGTGCCCCCCGGGTACCCGATGTCCCCCTGGCCGCCCTCGCCACCCACCTCCAATGCCCACGGTCGAAATAAAGAGATGAGATGTTGGAAGAAGGACTCCACGGAAATGGGAGGCGAATCAAGCCTGGGCACACCAGGGTCAACATGACAGTGAGCAAAGCTTCGCTTCTGCACTTGAGAACAAAAATCAACCAATCAGCCAGGACGCAGCCCGTCAGCATGACCAGGCGAACACTCTCGAAGGCGGCCAGGGCCTGGTCTTCAAATTCGGCCCTTCGCGCACACGCCGCGCGCCAGGCAGGGGGCACCAGGTCGGGGTGGGCGGAAGCCTCCAAGACTTAGGTGCAGCAAGATAACCACGCACGTGTTGATACCCCTTCGCACTCCTCCACGCAGTATCCCCCTCCTCCTCGGCGTGCCTCGAGGTCCCAGAGGCGCTGGGCAGCGGGGCTCCAAGGTGCCGAAAGCTTCGTTCATGGCCTCCCTAGTGAACCCAGCACGTTTGCCATGTCCACAGCGCTCACCCCGCTCAGCAGGTAGAATTATGATCATGTTCTGTTTTCTGTCCAATGGTGTGCATCTCAGCACCGTTACAGACCTGAGGATTCCACTAGCGAGCGCGGCATCAGCTACTACGGGTGCAAAAAACGTGGTTCTCAAAACGAATTCTCGAATCCAACGCATGTCCTACTACATGCAGATGAGAAGAATGCCCCCTTGAAACGAACTGTCAATTCTCTCAAGCATACATGTATATACATACATACATACATACATATGAGTATACAAAACATACAATCAAAATGTATACATATGCAAACAATGGAACGTTGTCCGCCCTGGCTGGGTCTGTCAACTAGCTCGCCCCGCGCCGGAATAACGGAAAGAGCGAGGTTGCTCTAGCTCATCGCACCGAAAAGGTCTACAAGGTATTTCTTCGGCCAACTGAAAGCCGGCGGTAAGCCGTCAACCTTCGTGCATTGGGTTTTCGCGGGCCCCGGGGCGCTGTCCGCAGCGCCGCCCGACAGGACGCCTAGCTAGCCTAGCAAGTCTAAGCGAAGGGCGCGCGTGAGCGCCCCGGCGGCAGCCAGTTCAGCAATTTTTGATCGCGGAGCGCGGTGGCAAAAGAAAAACGCTGGAAGCGATGTCCCTCCAAACGAGGGCACCCCTTGCCTCGCTTCCTTGGGCGT